CCTCCGGGCGGATCCGAATCATTGGGCAGCGTGGGTGCTCCACAGGGCAGATTTGGACTGCCGGCCGATGTGGGTGCTCCCCGGCGAAAGTTAATTGGCCCCTTGCACATGCGCTTGTGCTGGTATGCCGTGGCGGCGGTGGCGGCGGTGGCGGCCGTATCAGGAAACGTAAATTTTCAGCCTTTTAAAAGAAATCGAAAATTCAGCACTTGAAAATATTTAGCGAGAATACCCACACAACCCACTTCTTTGCTTGAATTATTCGCGGGAAAAATCAATTTGCGAGAACTTCGAAATACTGCGTGTATATTTTTTTCCACCACTTTGCCGAATGGGTACGAAATAAATTTCACACGTCTGACTGCCACGCAGGTTTAATTAAGAAGGAAGTTCAAAAATCATGCGGCGTCGGTTTCGGCCTTTTCCAGAAATGTCTGCCAGCTGAAAAATCCGCCATTTCGGCTTAGGACAAGCTTCTCAGCAACAGCTGATCATGGAACTATCTGGCATCACCCGCAAAAATACTAATTAGTATTTTTTTTTGCTAAACACTAATTTCCGACACAAAATTTGGCTAGGCATCTGGCTACTCTCCAAAGGTCGCTAAATACAAAAATATGCGCCAGTTTTCAAGCCAAAACAAACAAACGTTCTTCAGGCGCCGCTAGAAGCCTATACACTTTTCGGAACCTTTGCAGCTTCCTCTAGTAGATCGGCGTTCGATAGCGAGCCTGCTCTTTATCAACGATGTTATATGTTACGGAGGTAGGTCAAAGACTTGAAGCAAAACTTCGACTTGCTCAGACCAATGGTTAACCCTGCTTCTTTCAGGCATTCAGCGACTCGGCGAAGATACTTCAAGTGCGTTCTCATGTCAGGCGCTAGTATTAGCAGGTCATCCAAGTAGACGAACACATTCGAGCGGATTTCAGCTGGGATTACTCGGTCCATGAGCCTCACTAGCCTCTGTGATGCGTTACAGAGTCCGAAAGGCATCACACGGAACAAGTAAAGAGGCCGACCAGGAACCGTAAAGGCTGTGTACTCCTTGCTGCTCGTGTCCAACTCAATCTGCCAAAAAGCGAACTTCAAATCCACGCTGGAAATGTAGTACGTTTGGTCAATTCTGGACAGGATGCCGTCTATGCTGGGCAACGGGTAAGCATCTTTGATGGTCACATCATTAAGCTTTCGTGCGTCTAAGCAGAACCGGTGTTTTCCAGATCTTGATACTACGGTGGTGCGGTTGCTCCAGGGCTTTTGCTCTCCTCGATGACTCCGAGCGCTAGCATCTTGTCGACCTCGTCCTCGACCACCTTCTGCTTCGCGGGAGACATCGGATAGGGTCGATCCTTGAACACTTTGGCTCCGTCCATCAGCTCAATAGTGTGCTTCTCCAGACTGGTGGTACCCAAGCCATCCCTCTCGAAGGTCAAGAACTGCTGCTTGATCTCCTCCAGCTCTTGTTCCTCGGCCTTGGAAAGCGTCCAGGACTCGGGATCGGTTTTCTCCTCATCGTCATCCTCGACCTCAGTGTAGTGCTTCATCTCCCTGGCGTGTAATTCTTCGGCCTTCTTCACGCCTTCCGGATCAATGTGGGCTATAATCGCTGGTGCCAGTCCGAATGCTTGCCAAAGATCCACTCCAAAATAAGCTGGCTGCTCCAGGTAAGGACACAAGTAGAAGAGAATGTGCTCTGTCCGTCCTCGGTATTCTACCGGTAACTTGACCCGTCCTATAATTGACCGATCCTCTCCAGAGGCCGTACGGACTGCGGATAAGTACTTCTGGACGGGCACATCTAAGACCTCTGACACCTTTACCAAGCAGACTAACACTCGCTCCAGTGTCCAACAACCCCGTCAGTTGCTTAGTCAGGACTCGGACTGCGGCGAACGGTCTGGGATCTCGCGATAAACTCCGCTTCACGGCGGCCACTGCTTCGCGTCGGCAGTTCCGACGTTTGCGAAATCGGTCCCTGGCCTTCTGCACCTTGCGAGACACCATACGCATCCCGCCTAACTGGTGCTCTGAGAAGATTCTGTTCCTGGTTTCTACGTACCGCCGCATCCTCTCCGCATAAGGTAAGTATCGTAATGCAAACTTTTTACTATTCTTAGAAGGTAAACATTTATTTAACCCTACCAGCTCTTCTTCTCTGCGGAACTCCTGTCTGAACGCATCCTCTCTCGCCCAGCCGACCGTTTTCCGCACAATCCGGACATTTGGGAGACACGGTGTCGGGCTTCCCACATCGGTAGCAGAACAGTCTGCGTTCTGTTGCTGCGCAGTCACGGAACCCGTGATCCACGGCTCCGCAATTCCAGCAGCCGGCTCGGAACGGATTCTTCGCCCGCACTTCGTCCACCTCGTGTCACGGAGGATCCTCACCAGGATCTGGGCCAATAGCCTCGCTAACCTTGGCCTTCTCCGCCGGAGGATACCGCATCGGCTGCGTGTACGTGGTCCGTCCACGACGTCCAAAACTGAGCTCCACCTCGCAGCACTCTTCCCGCAGTTCATCCACCGTGAGCACATCCATCGCGTAGACAAACCTTACGATGCTCTCCCTCAAGCCCTTTTTAATAATCTTTACCAGCTGTCGCTCTGACAGTGGCCTTTTCAGTCGAGCCGCCAACTGCTGCATCGCGTGGATGTAATCGCCAACTCCTTCACCGGGCTGCTGCTCCCTCTGCAGAAGTTGGTGCATCCGGTCGTGCTCCGTCTGGTGGCATCGGAACCTATCCATCAGCGAGGCTCGAAGCTGGGACCACCTGTCCACCCTGCAGTGACGCACGTGCACCCAGTACCACTCCCGAGCCCGCCCCGTATGCAGCAGGTGGAAGTTTCGGAGCACCTCTTGCCACGGGCATTGGCACTGCCGCTGCAGGAACTCCAACCTGAAGAGAAAATCTTCCACCGAGTTTCGCTCATCCTCCCCGTCGAAGGATACGCCCCACCGCTCAATTCGCCATTGCTGGTTGGCGACTCCCGCCCCACATTGGCATACGGGCGCGGCTCCTCGCGGAACTCTGAGGCCCTGCGGTCCTCAACGCACCAGCTTCGGGCCGGGTCATCGTCTCGGCGCGACCTTCCATGATCCGGAGGATACTCGGGACTGCTACTTTCCAGCTCCTGGAAATCTAGCGGCCTCCTCGGCGGTTTGTGTGGCACCCTCGGCGGAGGTAGCCTGGAACCGTCCATGCCGGCGACCTGTGTGCTCTTCGGCACCGCATCTTGCGGGGCTTGACCAGGGATTTCTGCGGTGATCCTTGAATCCGGACGCCTTCGCTCACCCGGCACGCTCTCCAGGGGAAGTTGAGGCCGTTGAGCAGCAGGCCTTAACACCTCGTTCATCAGCTTCATCATTTCCAGGAAGCCACTTCGGATCTCGTCCCTCAGTGCCTGATTGATCCCGCCTTCTTGGGCCTTCCGATGGGTCTCCGCCGCCTGTGCCAAAGCCACATTAACGGCCGACCTTGCCGCGGAATCTACAAAAGGATCGTGGAGTCTTGCGTCCTTATCGTCCAGCTGCAACAACTCATCCGCCGCGGAACCAATTCCCTCCAGGATCTGCTGCTGCCTTAGGTCCTGCTGCAGCTCGGTGTCCTGTGGTCCTTTTTGCTCTTGTTGCAGTCCCTGGCGCAAACGGGAAAGCGGAGTCCTGGGCAACCCTTCCGATATGCGCGGCAAGCCAGCCTCGGTAGCGCCCTCCACATCCGTGGACCACTTCTTTTCGTCGTCCTCGCCTGGAAAACCCTTCGACCGAAGCAGGTGATCATGCTTGCTGCCTTGTCGCTTTGACATCCTGAATTTTGGTAACCCCTAACACAACTTCTGAAACCCCGAATTCAATGTGACAACCAAAAACCCAAATTGTGTATAAATAAATAAATTATGCTTAATGCTAGTAAATAATAATAAATAAATACCACTAAATAATATGCACCTAAATAATACGAATACTTATATTACCAGGCCAATAAATAATAAAAATAAATAAATAGAAACAATAAACAATGAATAAATAAGAAATAAATAAGAAAATATATTAACAACCAACAAATACCTAAGGCTAAACAAATTCACACCAATAATTATCTCCTATCAAAAACAAATCCCTCAGACTAAATTTCTTTCTCTATTTTTTTTCCAGTCTCAATAAGGGGAGATGGAGCCGATCACCAGCCGGTAGACTCCGCGCCAGTCGTCTTGCGTCTACAATTTCGTCCGAATTCTCACTAAATAAGCCGCTCTTCAACTGGACTAACTTTCAGCTGTGCTGAAAGTCGCCAGTTAAGGACTTCGGCTGTTTGCAGGATCGCATAGGATTTCCTTTTGGACTTTGCGTTTTTTATTCAAGTCGCGGTGGCCGAGCAGCGCGTGACGACGTCACGGATCACGACCACACGTTTAAGTTTTAAGCCGATATGATATGAAAACGCAAATACCAAGAAAACCCAAGGATCTGCACAAACAAACAACTACACTGTAACCCCAAAACAAGACATTCATTAAAATTACTTTAACAAAAAAAATATGTCCCTAATACCTATATCACAGTTTTATCACAGTTTTTGGTTTAACCTTTCGTGCTTATTGCACGGACGACCTGGGATGCGAATCCTTCGATTTCCTTCGAAGAGGATGTCACCGCCAAATCACAGCTAATCCCTGTGAACTGTGCCTCGGGAGCAATTGTCCTACCTCTAGTGGACACGCCTCCCTTTCTTCCCACAAAATTTAAACAACTTTTCTCCACCAGTCCGCATCCACGGTGCAATTGCATGTGTGTCATGCAAGCCACCGTTCGTGGGCTGGCTGGAGCTATCACATATTTTATTTGTTAAATTTGGGCGCCATATTGTTACGGAACTGCATCTTTCCCGGAGGGCAGCGCCGGCTAGCCACGGAGTCCCAGGGCGGAGTACCCCCTATGCCCTGCAGTTCGAACAATCGATTCCGACTCATCGGACGTCTCACCTCACTAAGTTGACGATTTACCATCTCTACCACAAATCAAAACAAAACAAAGTTATATTTACATCAAAACTTTGAAAATTGGACGAAATTGGTGGCTTCGATGTCCTTGCCACAACGCACCCACCCAACCTTGGGTGCCCCAAAAAGGATGTAGGAGGCACGCCCAATCTCCGGCAGACCGGAGTCTATTCCTGGTGGATTAGGATCGGCTCATCTCCCCGCCCAAGGTAACTTACACAAACATCTCGGTAGCTTGTTCACATTTAATTTCGGGCAAGACTAATAATAAAGTACATTCATTATTGATTCCTACTAATAATCTACTCTTTTCGTTAAAAACACTTAAGGCCGATCTCAGACCGTCGCCCAGATGAGAAGCGGTCAAAGCGGCAACAACAGAAGGGAAATTTTTAGTGTTTGGCAAAATCGCCGCACGGCACTAAATTGGAGGCGTTTGCCAACCGGGTCGCCTAATCCTGAAGAGCTCCAAGGGAAAAGAAGGGACGTGCTGAAAAGATAAGTACGCTAAATAAATCCCGTAAGTCATTAAATTTCGCGACCCAATTTAGACGTAGTTGGACGCGCGGCTAGGGTTCGGAATTAAGCCTCTAATTTTAGATTATATTTCACAGTGAATACTTGACAATCTTGACTGTATGATATCACAAAAATCATAACTAAAACTTATTTATTGCAGAGTTCAACGTCGGATGTGGTTGAAGCTGCAGCCAGAAGAGAAAATCGCTAGCGGCAAAATCCAGCGAGAGTCCGCACGGAGCCAATTGGTCCGGAGGATAGCGCAGCGTCTGCGTAAGAGGCACCGGAGGCAGTGCGTCGGTGGACTTGGAGATGACCAAGTGGTCAGCGCGGGCATTCGTTCCCGGAACGGACTTACCGAGGGAATCTCCGTATGTGGCCGTCTCGGAGGCAGTTGCTGGGGCTGGGGCTGATGCTGATGCTGCTGATCGCTGCTGCTGCAGTGACTAATGCTGCTGCGGAAGCTGACCGCTGTTGCTGCTGCGGCTAATGCTGCTGCTGCGGTTAATGCTGCTGCTGAAGCTGACCGCTGTTGCTGCTGCGGCTAATGCTGCTGCTGAACCAGGATCACTGCTGCTGAACCTGGATCACTGCTGCTGCTGGTGGCCGACGTGGTCCTCACGACCAGGTTAGGTCCGCCAGGTGAGTATTCCCGAATCCCTTAAATTTTCGGGGCCCTTTAGATAGGGTCCCTGGTGGCTTTAATATTTAAAAAAAATCACTGTTATTCATAAGTTTATTTCAAATAAATAACCACTCACTTTAATTTATCTAAACACTAATTATGAATTTATCTTTTCCTGACTGTTCTCCTACGACTTATTGCAGCAACTAAAACCAAAACCCTGACCTACACCAAAGTCGTTCGCCATTTTCCCTCCCGCTCTCTCAAGATGGGTCAGCGAACGTATTCAAGGCTATTTAACCCAGTTAACGAGCGAACCGGGCTAAATTTAAATAGCTAGATCCTCTCCCGCTATCAATAGTCGGTGTCACCACCGAATCTTATCGATAGCGGGACCTGCTGACGTATCGGTTCGTTTAGTATTTTCCAGACGGCTTCAACTGAAAATGCAACATATAATTGGTAATATTGATAGTCCCTTCATATTAAGATCAATTAAATTCAACGTCCCAGCCAGAAGTCTCCGTACCGCCATCCCATTTTTTGAAAGTGCTGCGAGGACTAACTATGCGCGGAATGAGCCAATCTTAAGAGCTTTAAGACTTTTTAACTCTTTGCCACTAAGTATTCGATTGGTTTGGGGATCCAAGAAGGATGTGCTTAGGCAATTGCTTAGAGAATATTTTTAGATAAATATTTAGTTTTAAAGTTAAGTTAGCTGATAAGCCAGATAAGGATTTATCCATTGGCGAATAAATAAATATAATAATAATAACACTAAATAATATAGATATGGTTAAACATTTTAGAATATTATGAACTATAGAAAAAATAAATGAAAAAGCTGCAAATGTTGTTCTTTTTTTTTAATTTTTTTGAATGTTTAAATTTATTTGAATTGGCAACGACATTCTAAAGCTGCTATAGGAACGATCGAATTATTTAGTTTGCTTGTAAAATGAAAAATCTTAACATATTCTTTTAAATCAATGGGCGTATTCAGCAGAACAACATGCTTAGAGCTCACTGATGAATCAGTAATCAGTGATCAAGTTTGTTCAGCTGAACGCTTATGATACATTCCGCCCTCGCAAAAATTATTGGCTTGGAACTTATTGGTATCGAGGTGTTTCGCGCCAGAAACAGCAAAAACAGTACACTATATTATGTTGTTGTATTAAGAAAGACAAGGTGGCTAACTTATTTTTTTTACAGCTGAAAGCAAAATCTGGACCGGATACTACAGCACTGCGCACTACATTCGTAGCCACACCACACTTAAAAATTCTTGGAATTCTTCTTCTCGATACTTATAAGGAAAAAAATTAAATGCATGATTTTTCATTTAATTTATTTTTTGTTTATTGTATTTTGTTATTTATTCTTATAGATATTTATACGACCGATATACGATTACAGATATGTATCATGTATTAAGAAAAGGTATCTTACTTGTTTTACGCTACTTTTTTGCTGATCATGATTTAAGAATTTTAGCATGATCAGTGATCATACGCGGTCAGAACTATCGTAAGAAATCCATTGGAGATCAGAGATCAATGTCATCCTCTTCAAAGTACTCCCCTCCCGAAAAAATACAATATGACAACGATTTTTCCAATCCTCGAAACATGCCAAATAGTCTCACCTTTCCGGTATAGTCATCAGCGCCTTCTTTGATTTGGGAATAGCCAGAAGTCACACGAAGCCAAATCATGCGAATACGGTGGTTCCGCAGAACGATATACCTCGAATGTTTTGCGAAATAGTCACGAAGAACGAGAGACCAAACGGCATTTGACTTACCGGAGACCCAAATGGTTATACAAAATGGTTTTCACACGTCCTTTTGATATTCCAATCATATCAGTAAGATCTCAAACAGTCAACCAACGACTTTTATTTCTTTATTCGTTGAAAGTTTTCAACAAGTTCTCGGCCCTCTTTGAAGTCTGTGTACCTCTTTTAAACATATTTCTGCGACAAAGTAGAATCACCAAAGGCCATTCGCCACATCCTCAACGTTTTCACACTTAAAAATTACATTCCGCAAACAAAATGGCACTTATCTGCTTAATTAACGAGTTACATGAGTTTCACAGTTTTAAAAAATCGATTTTTTTAATATTCTTATTAAATTTATGAAATATTGTCTCACAATTTTTACACAAAATATCCGTTTTTTCCTTCGCCTAATATCTCGTTATGGTCTTAAATTTTTTATTTATTACTTCTGATGATCCTTCAAAAAATTCTGTGGTCAACGCGAAGAGATCTTTGTTCCAAGGGACTTCCGGAAATTATGCCGAGCTTTGAATTTTTTTTATAAATTTCACAAAAACTTATTGATCACTGATTACTGATCCATCAGTGATCTCTAAGCATTTTGTTCTGCTGAATACGCCCATTGATTTAAAAGAATATGTTAAGATTTTTAATTTTACAAGCAAACTAAATAATTCGATCGTTCCTATAGCAGCTTTAGAATGTCGTTGCCAATTCAAATAAATTTAAACATTCAAAATAATTAAAAAAAAGAACAACATTTGCAGCTTTTTCATTTATTTTTTCTATTGTTCATAATTTGAATACAATTTTCTATATTTTATATAAAAAATGATTGAAAATTGGTCGTTTTCTGCACGAGAAAACCTATGCAACCACTTAAATCTGACATTGTAAAAATCGAAATATACACTCTTGATTGTTTGTAAAAAAAAGCGTTAATTTATTACTGATAATGACATTTACAAAAAATTAGGTTCAGATGTCAGCTGTACGCAGCTGTACGATATAATCGATTTTAATCAAATTAAACCGTAAATTACTGTGTATCACAGAACTAAAAAAATTAAAAACAAGAAAGGAAGCAAACTTCGGCAAGCCGAAGTTTATATCCCCTTGCAGCTATTGCAAAAATTAAATATTTTTAAAAACATCAAAATTATGATTTACTTGCGTATATGTCTAAAACATTGACGCTATGTTGATTTGCAGCTCAATATTTTATATATTTTTATTATTTCTATGGGAGCTATATGATATAGTCGTCCGATTCTGAAATATTTTACCATTACTATATGTCGAAGAACTAATAGAAAAATTTAAAAACAGCAATGTTCGAATTTTTTTTGTATTTTTTTCCGGTTGTTCCTATGGGAGTTATATGATTAAGTCGTCCGATTTTAATAATATTTAAACCGTAGTTCTGAAATATTCAACCATTACTATATGTCGAAGAACTAAAAGAAAAGGTTTAAAACAGCAAAGTTATAAATTTTTTTGTATTTATTTTGGGATTGTTCCTATGAGAGCCGATTTTGATGAAATTTAAACCGTAATTCAAAAATATAAAACCATTACTATATGTCGAAGAACTAAAAATAAAATTAAAAAACAGCAAAGTTATAAATTTTTTTCATTTATTTTTCCAATTGTTCCTATGGGAGCTGTATGCTATAGTCGTCCGATCCGGCTCGTTCCGACTTATATACTACCTGCAAGAGAAAGACAACTTTAGGGAAAGTTTTAGATAGCTTTAAAACTGAGAGACTAGTTTGCGTAGAAACGGACGGACAGGCGGACGGACAGACGGACGGACAGACGGACATGGCTAGATCAACTCGCCTAGTGATGCTGATCAAGAATATATACTTTATAAGGTCGGAGATGTCTCCTTCACTGCGTTGCAAACTTCAGACTGAAATTATAATACCCTCTGCAAGGGTATAATAATAATAGGTATTATATTTTTTTTTTTGCGAACAATGTGACCTATATGATATATTCGTCCGATTATATGCTACCTGCAATAAGAAGAAGAAGAGGAGGACAGACGGACATCGACTCTCCTAGTGATGCAGGTCAAGAATATATTTTCTTTATAGGGTCGGAAATATCTCCTTCACAGCGTTTAAAACATACTAAAACGTCTGCCAGAGCATAAAACTATCTCTCCGAACGATGGAATAATGTACGAGGCTAACTTGTGTTCACACAAAACCGCAATCATCCAACCACAGCCGTCAACAATCAAAGTGGCGCAAGCAGAATTCTATACAACGTTTAAATTATTATCTATTAAATATATTTTTTGGCTTAAACGACTGAATTGCTGAAAACTCAGAAAAAATTTTACTTAATTGAGAGAACGACCCAAAATGTTTCCTGCTGAAATTGGTAGACAGCTGTTTCATCAAACAACCATATCAGTTGATGCTTTTCTTATATTTTGCTTGAGTTCGAGGAAAAGTTAAGAAAAAGCTAAAATATAAAATAAGGAGTTTAAACCAAATAGTGGAGTGCCTAATTTATTTGTTTGCAAATAATTGGTGATTATTTGCATGTTGGGACCATTGTTGCCTTCTTGGTTCTAGTAAAATGATAATACAAATTGTCAGCTTGAAACGTGCAGTTGGAAACGGTTGGAATTTTCAACAAATGTAAAACCCCGATTTTCACAGAACACATCCACCTTCCAATTTCAGATGATCTGAACAGCTGTAGCTCGTCAAAACGTAAACAAAGTCAACAGGTTAACCAACTTTGTTAATGTTTTGATGAGCTACAGCTGTTAAGATCAGCTGAAATCGGAAGATGGAAGGTGAATGTGCTCTGTGGAAACCGGAGTTTCACCGTTTTCAAAAATTCCAACGGTTTCTCAGGGATGGACTGCGTGGAAAGAGGGTTGCACCGCAGAAACATCGGCTAACTATCGCATAAATAAGTCCATCAAAGTTCGTCAAATTTTAACGACGGACTAATTGGGAAGTTTTTGGAACGGCAAAACCTTATGGACCATCCCTTCAACGGATGGTGGAAGGTGGATGGATCTCTGTGGAAATACCC